TTTACCTATGACCTGGGGCTAGTTACCTTGCCTCTTCCTGTTTTCAAAGTCTCTCTTAAAGCTGAAGGTCCTAACAGCACGTAATACCTGTGATATTGCTAAACTGAGGAGACTAATGGAGATGACTGGTTATCACTGATGTGCTGGAGCTCTGGAGGAAGAAAATGATGTGCCAAGGGCTTTACACTCCCAGCAAAGTGTCCACATAAGTGAAATGAAATAGTCTGTGATTGCTGTGAAATAGTAACCCAAAATACTCCCCAACCCCACCCCCCCACACACACACACATTATCTCCTATAGCCTCAGGGTCAGGACTCTAGGGCTAAAGGACATGACTTTCAGAAACATTATGGTAAGTGATTTTCTAAGGCAATCTCAGGTATCTGTGGTGACCCCTGTGGTGGCTTTGTTCTGTTGGTTATACATTGCTGTGGTCCTGCCCTTCAGGAAGGACCATGTGTGATGGTTTGTATGAGTGTCCCCCAAAGATCCATGCATTAGGGCTGGAGCTGTGGCTCTTTGGTAGAGTATTCGCCTGGCACATGTAAGACACTGGGTTCCATCCTCAGCACCACATAAAAATAAAATAAAGGTATTGTGTTCATCTACAGCTAAAAAAATATTTTAAAAAATCCATGTGTTAAAAGCTTGGTTTTCAGAGTGAAATGTGGTTGCACCTTTAGAAGGTGAGGCCCTGAGTGCAGTGTTTGGGTCTTTGGGGATGTGCTCCTGAAGGGGAATGTAGGACCCCAATCCATCCTGTCTTTTGCTTCCTGGGTTGTGATGTCAGTAGAGTTGCCCCACTATGCCTGCCTGCCATGATGTGCTACCTTCACCAGACATCCAAAGCAAAGGTATCACCTGATCAGGTAATACTGATCTTGGACTAGAACCTCTGCAACTCTGAGACAAATATAACTTTTTCCTTTATAAGTTAAAAACCTTAGGTATCTCCTTATAATAATATGCAGCTGACTAATATACCATGCTGCACTGAAATGTTCATGCTATTAATTGTCCCAACCTTCCTCAAAAGGACCTGTGACCAATTAATAGTGTGTCAGTACATTGTAGAAAGTATCCCAATTTTCAGGAGTGACAGATGCTGGATCTGAATGGCACTAGTTTCAAGGGTGCCAATATGACACTGTAGGCCCCCAGTCAAAGTAGAGGCTTATGGAAGTCAGGTGATCAAGGACTTTTGCCTCAGTTATGCCTTATAGTAGGCCCAGGTTTTCCCCAAATCTGCCCTGTGATGGTTTGTGATATTATCAAGGATTTGAAATATGCAGGGTAGTTATTACTACACCATCCATTTAAACTTGTCTATTTGTTCTATGCAGAAACAGTTGGATCATGGAGAATGACAAGCAATTATAAATCAAATCTGCTATTTGTTTCAGTAACCACTGCTACCTGTGGTTTTGATGCTTGGGCAATTAACACATCCCTGAACACCTGATAAACATGTACTTATTGGACAAATGTCATTTTTGTTTTCCTTTCAGTAATTTTCACAAGGAAGAGTTTGGCTTCTCATGGAAAGGGTAGCAATACACCATCACTTACTACTTCAGATTGATATTAACTCTCCAGACATATGTCATGAACTACTCCTTAGGGACTTTAATCATCTCTCCCTTATACCACACATAACATCATTCTGCAACATCAATGACATGATTCTGATTAAGAAGAAAGTAGCAACTAATTCACACACACACATCAACAGCATGCTTGCAAGAGAATTTGGGACATCAATTCCACACATCATCAGAGCCTTGTGAATGAGTGAAATTTTTGATGATCTAGTAGACTACGGGCATGTCAAGATAGTTATAAGCTAAAGAGCAAACTTATATAGCTGAACCTTTTTTTTTAAAGAGATAGGGAGAGGGAGAGAGAGAGAGAGAGAGAGAGAGAGAGAGAGAGAGAGAGAGAGAGAGAGAGAGAGAATTTTAATATTTATTTTTTAGTTTTCGGCAGACACAACATCTTTGTTTGTATGTGGTGCTGAGGATCGAACCCAGGCCGCACGCATGCCAGGCGAGCGCGCTACCTCTTGAGCCACATCCCCAGCCCCTAGCTGAACCTTCTTATTGCAAAAAAAAAAAAAAAAAAAAAAGAAGCAACAATAAGTTGGCGTATTAGATGCTGGTAGTAACATAAAATTTAATGTTCTGTGCTATATTGACAAATTGGAAAGTCACTTGAAAGCCTGCTAGCTTAGAGTAGAGTCCAGATTGAGAGAAAAATTCTCTGTGGCCTCACAGGGAGTTCCCTATTACCCGTCAATTGGGAAAGAGAAACACATTGCACCTGATTTTCAATTTCTTCTAAATACACACATACCTCTTGTATTAGGTTCCTATTACTGAATAACAAAATAGCCCCACTTTAGCAGCTTACAGAGCCACAAATATACAGTTCTGTAGGTCAGAATTCCTGGCAAAACTACTTAGGGTCTCACAAAATCGACATCAAGGCATTAACCAGGTTTGTGACTGAGTACTCAGTACGAAGTTGATTTTTGGATGTTAATGACTGGATTAAATGACACCAAGATAGCTAGTAAAGCATTAATGATTCTCAATGCTTCAGTGGGCATTGAGCCTGTCCCTCTTCTATTGAGAGAAATCCAGGGGGTTTGACATTGAATTAGAATGAATGGAGTACCACAGGTATGTGTGAGAGGGTATTTCCAGATGGTATTGGCTTGTGAGTCTGTGGATTGAGAGAAGATACACTCTCAATATGGGCAGGCACCATGCAATTGGCTGGATGGGAAAGAAAACAGAAAAGGGTGAACTCTGTTTTTGAAATGAGGACATCTTTCACCTCCCCTTGGATTTTAGAACTTCATATTCTTTTGCCTTTGGATACTACAACCACACCAGCCTCCTCCAGCCCAGGCTCTGGGATCTGTAACATTGGCCTGACAAATGTACACATTGGCATCCCTGGTTCTAAGGCCTTCAGATTTAGACTGAGTCATGGAAATGGGCTTCCTAGTGTTTCAGCTTGGCCTACTGTGGGACTTTGCAGTCTCCATAATCAAGTGAGCAATTTCTCTTAATAAATTTCTTTTCACATTTCTATATTTCTTGTTTCTGTCTCTGGAGAACCATGACTAAAAGACACACAAACACACACACACAAAAAAAAATGTTTTAAAGCTCATTTGCATTACTGGCAGGTCTAGGTTCTTAATGTTGTAAGATCAAGGTCCCCATTTCATTGTTATTTCTACTGAGGCCAATCTAAGCTCCTAGAACCAAGATTATATCTCCTTAGGTATACCCCTGAATATTCTAAGTAGTAGTGGTGCATCATGTTCATGGAGTCAGGTACAGAAGTTATACATAGGCCCATAAAAATGAATTTCTATTTACCAAGATTGATGTTGGCATAGCCACTGTCAACTGTCCAGTTTACCAGGACCAGAAACAAATACTGAACCCTCAATAGGCACCATAGCCCAGTGTGGTCAGTGAGATATCAGATTACAACTTAGCTTGGTCTATGTCCATCAGGAAAAATGTAGCTTTTTTTTTTTTGCACTTGAGTAGATATACACTCTAAATATGGATTTTCATTCACACCTAATGTACTTTCAAAATACATTCTTAGGAAAGGGCAAATCCTCCATGATGGTCTTTTGACAGTGCATCACATCTAAATATGGAACTTGCTAATAGGAAATGAAGTACAGCAATGGGCTCATGCTAACAGATTATTCACTAGACTGGCTATATTTCTCACCATTCTAAACTATAGGAAAATCTTATAAAGTTTCAGTTATAGTTCTAGATTTATGGCAGTCATTTTGGAGCTGGATCAAATAATATAGGAGATAATATTCTCTTGGGTCTCCACCCACCACTACCACCCCACTCTTCCATCCAGGATGAGAAGCTGTTGCTCACATTGGTATATTCATGTCTTCAGCAATGAAAGCAATGTGAAGTCTCCTCTACTTTATGAGTATCCAGGAGCACAATTTTACTTCCCATACCAACAACTTGGCTCCTGTAGACTACATCTTGTCATTGCAAATTGGATCCCTTTTCATAGTGGGATACAAAAATGACTCCATTGAAATGGAAGTTAAGGCACTGAGCAAGTGCATCACTGTGGATTGTTCCTCCCTATCAATCAACAGATACAAAGGAAGGGTTCCTTAATGTCTGGAATGAACACCAGAAGGCAATGGGATGCTGCCAAACAGAGACCAAGGACGAAATGCGTGTAGAACATCCAGAGCCCTTTTTAGTCCTGACGGGTTCTGTGACTAGAGACCATGGAATAGGGCAAGAAGCCAATTCAGCAGGAAATGTAGCGGCATAGAGCCTTCAGTAAGAACTCTGTATGTCACCCTGCCACACCAAGCACCAGGGCCTGCTGTGGGGCTGTCCCGGGGCAAAAGGAATAAGAAATAGGCAGTGCAGAAGATGGTTATAAATAGCAGCTATCACCTTGTGACCTTCTACAGAAATGAGGTGTTCTGGTTTGAAGGAGGAGTCCCTCCAAAAGCCCTGTGCTGATGCAAGAGGTGAGATGATGATGAGAGCTGTGACCTAAGCCATGGACTGATCCATCTGGTGGATGAACCGAATCAACTAACTGGGTAGTACCTATAGGCAGGAGGGGGCGTGGCTAGAGGAGGTTGACCTCAAAGGCACGAGCTCTGGGCCCTATTTGTTGCTGGCCCCTTGCTCTCTCTGTCTCTGTCTGTCTCACTCTCTGCTTCCCGGCTGTCTGGACACAGCAACTTTCCTCCACCGTGGCGGTCCACCCTGATGTTCTGCCTCACTTCAGCCCCAGAGTGACGGTGCTAGCTGTCCATGGACTGAGACTCTGAAACTGTGAACCCAAACGAAATTTCTGCTCTAGGTTGTTCTTGCCAGGTACTTTGGTCACAATGATGACAAGCTGACTGACACTTGAGGACTAAGGTGCATCTGGCTTGCTGAGATAAAAACATCCCCAGCTCAGATGAGTGACAAAAAAAGGACTCTTTCCAAACAATGAGGGCAAAAGCCAACTTTTACTAATAGAAATTCATAACATCAAAATGCTCCGCCCCTTCGACTCAGCCTCTGGAAGGCAAGTGTCCTAAGCAACACAGGCCACGAGGCTTCAGTGACATCTTGCTGCGTTCTCAAGCACAGCGAATGGGTTCTGGTTTCTATCCGATCATCGTGAGAACAGGATTGTGTTCAGGTCTGATACCTTAGTTGCCAGAACCCGTTTTCTCCAGGATCTTCTCAAGGTGCTTAATTAAGTCACGGCGTTTAAATCTGAAAACGAAGGGACATGCCATTACCCAGCGGAATCCCAGAGACACCGGGAAGTCGGGGGGGCACTGTGGCAGACAGGCAGGGAGCTCACGGTCTACGCGGGAAGGAAAGGCACACACACCTGGGGAGAGACGCTCAGGGGCACATGGAGTGTCCACGGGGGCCGGCAACCAGCCCAGACCATGGCGACACGGCCAGGCCCAGTGGGTGTGGGAGGGCGAGTCAGACTCAGAGGACACGGGCTGAACAACACAGAGCAAGCCTCAACTGTGAGTGGGGGCAGGACCCAGGATGCTCAAGCAGGGGCAGGCCCTGTCCCCACCACTCAGCCCCCACACCGCCCCAGCCCAACTGCTGAAAGAACTCCACCAGTTCCTCAGCCACCCACCTTGCTGCTTCCTTGATGGTAAACTCAACAAACTGCTTCTTGACTTCCGCAGGGCCTCGCACTTCTTCAAGCAACTTGAAGATCTTTTCGTATTCTGAAGGTATTAAGAACACCTCAATATTGAGGAAGAAACAAAACTCAGTCTTGCCGTCTGTGGCCCTCACTAATCATGCCCTCTGGGCTGCAGAGGTACAGAGTGTGTGGGGCTGAAATGCTGAAATGGAGACCTCTGCACACAGCCACTAAAGAGTTCGAGGAAACAGCCACCATCAAAGACAAGACAGGAAAAGACGTTCGGGGGACACACTAAGCAAAGTAGAGGGGAACCGTCGGATATTAGCGAGGACTCAACTCTGGCCGAGGCCGAGTCCACTCAGGCAGTTCCAAGCTCTTCTAAACCACAGGTTGAGAGAGCCTTCCTGCATTTTCATCGCCACCATCCCCCCGCTACTTACTTCGTCCAAACTGTCGAACTTCCTTCATGAGCTGATGTTTGATACCAACGTTGATTTCCTCAATACTCTGTGGAAATGGATCAGGCACCACCGCCACCATGGGCATGGCAGGAACTTCAGGGTCACGTGCAGAGGGGCCACTGCTCACGAATCCTGCCCCAAAGGGGTCCCCACTGGCCTGGAGAAGCAGCCCCCCTTGGCTGGGACCAGTGGAGGCCTCGGGTGGAGAAGCCAGTGGATAGAAGGGGACGCTGCCGGCTGCCATGCTTGTGGCCAAGGAGCCTCTCACTGTGGTGGGATCACTTTGCACTGTCTCTTCAGGGGCAACGCGGCTGGCAGAAGCATCTGGAAACCAATGGAGAGGCTCAGCTATGAGGCAGGTGGGCTTCACCACCCTACGCCCTACACGGGACATCTGCAAGCTCGTGTCCTGCGATTACTTTTCTCAGAGCAGCTGGAAGCACCAGAGAATTTTCGGACCTCAAAAGTGGGCATCGCGACACAGAGGACAGGGAAAGCACCTCCTAAGTTGTGGCTCTGTGACTGCATGTGGAAACACAGGGGACGGGACATCTATCAGTAAAACATTCACAGGGCCATGGCACTCATGAGTCTGTGTCCTGTGATGTACTTTAGGTGTCAAAAAGCTGGAAGGTTCACGTGGTGTCAAGATGCCTGATGGGATTCACGCTGAGTCACCAGAGATCCCTGTCAAGAGGACAGACCCTCCTCACTCATGTGTGGAGTATCGGAAAAAGGCATTTATGTCACTCAAGCGCGACACCTCTAATTACGCCACCCCCTTGGTGCCAGGAGCTGGCCACCAGCAGTGAAGCAGACAGAAACGGCACCTGCCCCGATGGAACCTACACCGAAATGGGAAGTCAGAGAGGAAGTGCATGGAGAGCAACAGGCCATCCCAGCTGGACTCCTGTTGGGGGAGATGTGGGCAGGGGAGTGGGAGGGAGCAGAGGAGTGGGAGGGAGCAGCAGAGGGGCCTCCAGGGCTGAGGGTGGTGGCAGGGCCTTCTGGGTGGTGTCCTCTGAGCACAGCCTGAGGAGGAGACGACAGAGCAGGCTTGTGCAGATTTAGAGGGACAGTTCAGGCTGCAGTAAGGGTGAGGGTCAGAGGGGGACCTGCTGAGGACCAAGGAGTGGAGGAGAGAAGCAGAGAGACAGAGGAGGAGGCCCCCAGAACCCATGTGGGGCCACGCAGAGACTGTGGTCCACCGTCAGGACCAGGACCTGAGGTTGTGTTCTGTGTGCTTGGGAACATAGAGGACGATGCTCTTCCAGGAAGGACACACAACGGGCCCATTCCTTACCTGCTGACACCATCAGTCTGGCTGCAGGGGGAGAGGGGAGGGGTGAAAGGGGAGGAATGAGAAGCACAAGGACGGGAAAATGTTACTGGAACGTAGTGGCAATCCATCCTGTCAGAGTAGGAGCAAAGACTTGGGAAACATGGTGTGATTTTAAAGTCATCACAATAGTGAGATTGGAGAGGCAGATAAACAAAAGATCAGGATCCACCTCAAGGAAGGAAGAAGCCTGGAGAGATGGAAATCCCTGAACGTCCCCATCACGGAGCCAGTGAACAACGGTCAAATGCAGCCGAGAAATGACTGGCAATGCCAGCTGCCACGCTGGCCTTCTCCGCCCTGGTTTCTGTGGCGTGAGGAGGCAGGAGGCGAAGCCCCTGTTGGACAGTATGAGGGGAGGCCAGATTGAGGGCACGCTGTGTCCTGACCCACAGAAGAGCCAGGCAGAGAGGGCCTTCCCATGCATCCTCCTTTGCTGCCGCCCCCATCCTGCCCTGCAGGAGGAAGCTGCTTCATGCTGGCCTCCTGCAGCCTCTCCCAGTAGGTTCCTGTTCTCGGAGGTGCTGCATCCGACACGCCAACTGCAGGCTTGTCCACCCACCCAGGACACAATTACCATCTCCCTGGGTCTTGGTGGAGTCCTTCCAAAGGGAGTGGCCCTCTCCTTCCTCCGGCACTGACATCAGGGACATAGTGCTCCTCCGCTTGTGTGGTCTAGGACTCGGTCTAGGTCCGCCCGAGAATTCATCTGCTTTGTTAGCCATGGCTTTCTGAAACACACCAGTGGATACATTCTGCTCATTACTAAATGTGACCATCACACAAGTGCCAGCAGACTCTGCATGCACAAAGAATCCAAAGGAAATGGAGGACTACTGAACTGCATGTGAGTTCACCCGTGGGCCAAGTTTGGCCATACCTCACAAACACTGTTCTCAGAAAACTGACCTTATGTGAGGCCAGTCTAGGTGGATCATGGAGGAAGGTGACATGCAAGGTGCTGCTCACACCCAGACATGGCTCATGATTAATTAGTACTTGTGGAACGAGCGGATATCAGCAACCACATTGGAATACACAGTGACCTCAGTGAGTAACTCCCCTCTATTCTGTGGCTGCCCATGTTTGCAGATGGAATTCCTTGTCCTGTTCTCATGAGAGAGAGAGAGTTCATTACATACCACAACGGTGGCACTGAAAAGCTTGCATGTGCACCATGCAGTGTTGGTGGCAGGTAAAGGTGAGAGGCAGTGACAGAGAAGACTTAACGTAAGGCCCTATTGTCCAGGCGGAACCCAAGAATCTCCCCAGCATTACTGGAATAAAATCAGTACGACGCGTTTTGTGAGCCTCCTGTATTACCCATGAAGGGGAGTGCAAAGAGGAGGAAAGAATTTTCCAGAGGTCATGGAATAACGGGCAGGAATTCCTTGTTTTATTTGCCGTTACTTTTCCTTGCGGATTAGAATTGTACAGGAGAATGAGATGCATTTTCATGTCCTCATCCATGCACACAGCATAACTTGTTCCAGTGCCTTCCATGTCTTAGCTGGCTATTTGGCAGAGCACAATTCTGGGAAGAGAAGATTTAGTGGTTAGGAAGTTTCAGCCCCCTTGGCAGGGATGGCTTGTCCTACAGGTAAACTGTTCCAGTCACAAGCACTCTGCCCCAAGAATCACCAGCTAAGCGAACCCCTCTGGACGTGAAGGAGGAACATCTGGGGAAGACAGGAAGACAAGTGACGGGGGTGGTCATCCCTGAGGCCAGCAAGAAAGGAAATGGAGGACTACTGAACTGCATAGGAGGAGGCTCCATGGGCTTCATTCAGTGACAGTTGCCAGGCACCTAGGAAGCAGGATAGAGCAAAAGAGCGATGCAGTCTGCCCAGCAGTACCAGGCTTCTCACTCCACCCTGGGCAATTTTGGGCTCTCTGGAAAGCTCTTGTGACATTTCTGTGTGAATCAACACTTGTTGGAATTCTCAAGCCCCAGGAAGCTGCTAGACTGAAGTTTGAACCCAAAAGGCTGCACATCAGCCCGAGTCTCCGGTGATGATGTGAGAGCTGAGCAGCCCCTAGAGACATCACCACCACCAAGTGACTCCGTCTGCAGCCAGGGAACATGGCAACCCCGTGGGTTCTTCCTGCCTGTTATGGTTGGACCCCAAGCCATGGGCTAAAGGCTTGGTCCTCAGTGGGCTTCATTATTGGTTGGTGCTAGAAACTTTAGGAGGTGGAGCCGAGTTGGAAGCCATGGGTCACTGGGCGTGTGCCTTTACAGTGACACACATTGCTTCCCTCTCCCTCTTGCTGTCTCATACCCCCCCCCAGCCCCATTCATCCTAAGCAGCGAGTGTGAGGCCCGTGTGGCCAACATGTTGAAACCCCATCTCAAAAATATAAATTAAACTGAAATCAGCAGAAGTAATCGAGCTCTGAGGAATATATCTCATAACATAACATGTGGAATGCAGTATTAGAAAAGAAAAAAAAATTCTGAAAATTCCTAAGCTGTGAGTTTCAGTAAGGTAAAAGAGGAGTACAAGAAATCCAAATGCAAAGAAAATAGGAGAAGGAGCTTTACTTTTATTGGCGGGGGTGGGGGGTGGGTATGAGGGGGAAGCTGGGGTTGTAGCACAGGCAGGCAGGGGCTCTACCACTAACTTACACACCCAGCCCCACTTTACTATTGAAGGGGAAGCAGAGCTGATGAAACGGAATGAGAAAGCGACAACAGCAAAGACCAACATTGGCAAAGTGGATCTTTAAAAACACACACCAAAGGTAGACATGTCTGACTTCACCAAGCAACAAAAACCTTAGTGCTTCCTGGGGCGGTGCCTACGCTAAAATTGCAAGGACTCAGAGAATATTAGCATGGCCCTTGAGCAAGGATGACATGCAAATTTGTGGAACATTCCATAAATCTTTAAGGAGAAGAGAGAAAAAGGGAAATTTTATCTGAAAACAAAGCATGCTAAGAGAAGGAAAAGAAGAGGTTGGGATTAATGTGAAAATTATGACTTCAGATTTGAAAACTGAGATGAAGCAGAAAACACTCGTAGAAAAAAATAAAATTCAATCCCACGTGAAAGAGAAAAATCTGAATGCTCTCACGTCTGGTAAAATTTTTGTCATGGTACCAGGGATTCAACCAATGGGCGCTTAACCGCTGAGCAACACCCCCGACCCTTTTTATTTCTTAATTTTGAGACAGGGTCTCAATGAGTTGCTTAGGGCCGTGCAAAGTGGCCGAGGCCGTCTTTGAACTCGAGATCCTCCTGCTCCAGCCTCCCTGAGCCACTGGGATGGTAAAATTATTAACAAAGAAAAAATGCACACCTTCCAGCTCAGACATCTCCCTAATGAGTCCTCCAAATACTCAGGTGAGAAACGTGTTTTACACAAACTCCTCTGTAAAGTAGGTAAAAGGAACAAGTTTTCGGCTCACTTTGTGAGGCCAATGCCAACCTGATGCCAACAGCTAGCAAGGACATTAGAAGGAAAGAAAACCATGGGCCAACATCTGTCCTGACAACACTGATGAAAATCCTAAGTAAAATAAAAGCCAACCCAGTGCAATGACAGATAAAAACATACATCAAGGCATGGCACCACGTAATGCAGGAAGGCAAGACCTGTCCACATCCTCGAATCAGTCAGAGTTAACCACATTAACAACCAGAAGCAGAAGGAAATAAGGATATTCACATGATCAATATTTATATTTTGGTTAATTTGCAACTCCTATTCATGATTGAAAACTATCAGTAACTTATAAGAGAAGGAAACTTCCTTAACCTAATAAAACTTTTCTCCCCCACCTCCAAAAACAAACCAACACCCCAAAACAATTCAATGAGAATTCAAAAAAAAAAAAAAAACATGGAACCACCCAAATTACAGGTGAAGTATTGCTCCTTTTGTCCCTAAATTCGTCAACAAGATGAGGATGTCTACCATATAGTCAATAAGGTGTTGAAGGTCCCCCGAGTGCACCACAGCCAGATAAACAGGACAGTATAATGTTTCAAGTGGCACTTTCAATCTTTCTCTGAGGACATTTCTATGTAGGGAGAGTATTCGGAAGGATACAAAGCCACCGCAGGTAGGAAGTGACTGTAGGAAGTTGCTGGATCCAGCAACACTCTTCAAACACCACCAGCACATCCATGTAAGAGCAACAAGACAGCAGAAAGAAAATTTAAGCCCCACTGAAAACAGTGCCCAAATCACTGAAAATGTAGGCACACATGTAATGATGATGTGCTGGGGCATTCCACGAAGAGAAAAGAGCAGCATGGAGAGAAACTGAGGAGCTGCTCAAATGGAGACAAATGGTCTTTCTGTGCTTGGGATGAGTCCTTGTTCAAGCCTAATGGTGGGGAGGGGGCGCTGCGCATGCCCAAATCCCAGCAGCCTGGGAGGTTGGAGCAAGAGGATCTCAATTGCAAACCAGCCTCAGCAAATTAACGAGGCCCTGGTAAAATTACCAAGACCGGTTTCTAGATGAAATGTGAAAAGCGGGGGTCTGGGGAGATGGGTCAGTCGGAAAGCATGCCCGAGTTCAATCCTTATTCAGACTTTATGGTCACCAAGTGTGGCCATGCATGCCCGAATCCCAGCAGCTCAGGATCCTGAGGCAGGAGGATCGGAAATTCAAAGCCAGCTACTGCAATTTAGCTAGGCCTTGAGAAACTTTGCAATTCCTGTCCCTGGATAAATTATAAATAGGGGAGGCTGGGTGTGCGGCTCTGGGCCACAGCACCATCCAATTCGAGTTCAATCCCCTCTACCAAAACAAAAACCAACCAACCAACCAACCAACAAGCTTTCTTGGTTCTTCCCAGAATGATTCTGGCATTCTTCTCTAAAATCTCACCATGCTCATTTTGCACAGACAAGCTGGTAATACAAAAAGGGAAACCAAAGTCTTGAACAATCCAAACAGTCTTTAAGAAATCAAACAACGGCTAGAAGACACATACTTCTAGATACTAGATTTACTATAAAAGCGAATGTAAGTCCAATCGCATGGTCCTGGAGCAAGATAGGCATATACACCAATAGAGCAGCACAGAGTCTCACAACAAATTTGGAAATAAAAAATAGCTGTATTTATTGCCCTGGGGCCAGAAAACCCTTGTGAGAAGAATCGGCGTGTTTTTTCCCCGGGCTACTCATTTGAGGTGCAGGGCGGAAGCCAGGCTCCCACGCATGCTGCGGGGGGCCTCTACCACTGAGCTGCGCCTGCGGCCCACCACCCTCCTTTTAACCAGCTCACTTCCTAGAGACCAGCAAAACCACACCCACAGCCCCCCTGGAAGCCAAAGCAGGGGGTTACCCTCATTGATTGGGGTGGGGGGCAAAGATAGATTTTTAAAGAATACAAACACCGACCATAAAAACCAGTCTGAGTAATTGCATGGGTAGTTTCTGTGCTGGCAAAAGACAGCATTTATGGTGGCTTACCTTGGTGGTGCTCGCCTATAATCACACACACCAGGGGGCTGAGGCAGGTGGATCCCAGTCAGGCTGCTGGGCAATTAAGCAAATGCCTGTGTCAAACTCTGTGGTTTTGTTGTTGTTTGTTTTGGGTACCAGGGATTGAACTCAGGGGCACTTGAGCCACAACCCCAGCCCTATTTCGTATTTTATAGAGAGACGGCGTCTCACCGAGTCGTTTGGCGCCTCGCCATTGCTGAGGCCAGCTTTGAACTTGCCATCCTCCTGTCTCAGCCTCCTGAGCCTCAGGGATTACAGGCATGCACCAACCAGCCTGGCTCAAACTCTTAAAGTTAGCACAGAAGAGAGGACTTGGGGTGTCCTTCAGTGGTGGTAGGGTACTCCTGAATTGAATCTCCGGTACCAGGGGGGAAAAACTCTAAAACGAAAACAAAGATTTGAATCAAAGCTCAAACTTGTGCTTTTGTCGATGTGCTTACGTACATAAAAGTACACGTAAATCAAAAAATCTGAGTGGAACCCTGACATGGTGGAGCGACATATTTCGCCACTCCTGCAAGTACAAACACGCCAACGGAGTCTGTGCAAAAGTCCTGAACACTGAAGCCCTCCTCAAACTCATCAACCAGCAGAGAAATGCAAGTGCAGACAGAGGGGATGGCTGCACACCCGCCAGGGTGGCGGATGTTCCCGCGTGACTGACTGGGCAGCGCAGCTTCCAGTATGAGGGGCTACTGGAACCTTCCGACACCCAGGCGCCCAAGACCACGGTGGAAGAGCTCCGTGGGGGCCGAGGCCCAGCAACCCCTCGCCACAGCCCAGAGGTGCAGGACTGCTCGCTGACAATGTGCCCCAGGCAAGGGCGGCGGGAATCCCCACCCGACAGACAGTGGCTGAGACCCAAGGCAGGCGAGCTGACGCCGCCACCCCCACGCCGCGGAGCTGGACTGGCCAAGGCACGCACCTCACCTGGGGCTAAGAGCCGTCAGGAAAGAAGCCCCTTCTGTGTGAAGATCCACACCTCGGGGAGCAGTCCCAAGGTAAGGAGCGAAGCCCTGGTGGCCAGGCAGCACGGAAGGAAGGGAAGAGTCCCCTCGTGGGGCTCACCCAGGACGCCAGGAACACTGCCCCCTTAAGGATGGCTGCTGGCCTGCAGAGAACTGCCACACGTGTACGCGCGCGCGCGCGCG